TGTGTGTGTGTGTGTGTGTGTGTGTGTGTGTGTGTGTGTGTGTGTGTGTGAGTGCATGTGTGAGTGAACACAGCAGGAGAGGAATGTAGTCATAGCTGTAAAGTGGGTGTGAAAACAGCCATGTTCACTGACCTCCAGGACGACCTCTCCACCCCTCCTCCCCTTGCTTGTTGATAGTGTCCGTGTGTGTGTGTGTGTGTGTGTGTGTGTGTGTGTGTGTGTGTGTGTGTGCGCGCGCGCGCGTGTTTGCACGCCCACTGCCAAAAATGCATGAAGAAAACGTGGGGAGAACCAAGAGAGTTGATTGAAGTCCGTGCACTGCGTGCGCTCATGTGTATGCGTGTGTCCGAGTGTGTGTTATTGTTGGACGCAGCAAGAGAATACCCCCAGATTTTACACAGACCTGAAAGGAGAGGTCAAGGGGATTATCTTAAAATATTAGCCCACCTCTGGCCCCATCCATTCTCCCTGTCCAGCTTTGAAGACGGCCGGCACCTGTTGTGCGAACACACACAGTAAGTGTGGAACTTCTTTCTTCTTCACGCTAGGATAAAAATATAAAGAAGTCCTGATTCCCCAAATCTCTTAAAGCGGGGTATACACATATAGATTTTTATCATTTTAACCATTTTTTTAAAATAGGGGAAGACCACACATGATGAGGCGAAAAATATCACCATGACTTCTGAGTGCTTTTATCGTTTGTGGTGTACTTGAGACGTCATCACAAAATGCCACCACCATGTCATTACCTCCAGCAACATTTGCAACCCCCTCCACTCACTCACAGGGCATTCAGAGTGCCGGAAAATAGAAAGATGAAAGCATAGTCGTGGTAGTGGTGGTACTTTGTAATAGTAGTAGTCGCAGCAGCAGAAGAAGAAATACTATAGCTGAACCTTGGGTAACTGTTAGCTTATCTGTAAAGTACTTATCTGGTAAATTCCTTGTCTGCAAAGGTTGATTTGAGTCAACCCGGACTAGAGAGTAGAAAATGTTTCACCTTAAATCCAAAAGGCTTCTTCAGCACTACATTTTTAGGTGTTTCCTTATGTATGCCTCTGGTGGGTGTGTTATTTGCGGGTGGTCACAAAGGGGTTTTGTTGTTTGCCGGGTGTGGTTGGTAAATGACTGCCCTGCGCACCAACCGGTTATTCACTCGCCTGGTGGCAAAACAGCTTGTTACGGCCAATCTTTTCATGAAATCGGATAATCTTTGGGGGGGAGGGATGTCAGGACCTTGTAATATAGGCAGGTGATAGGTGAAGCCTCAAACTCTTTCTCTGTTTTACAGAAGACCTACTTGCACACCTCTTTCAAACTAGCTGTCCTCCATATTCTGAATTTGGACATCTTTGTCCTCAGGCACACAGGCCTTAATAATTTAGAACTGAACAGGCCTCTGGGATTGAAGGTGAAACACCTTCAACAAAGGAGAAAAGTCCAGTTTGTTTGATTCAACCTTTTTTGAGCAGATCAGGGAGAAAAAAAAATCCTTCTTAATTTATCCCACACCACAAAAAGATAATCGCTCAGGATGATCCCTTAGTTATATGGGACAACTGAGCCTTGGCCAAATTTTGATCAGAAGGTAGAAAAATCCCAAAATTTGGCCCGATTGTCATTGTGTATACATGGCTTTATACGGTCTATAGCAATTTTCCACCACAGGAACGTATCCCAGATGGAGGGCATTTTGGAGGACTATTGTGTGTTTGGGCTGTGGGAACTATAGTCAAAATATCATCTGGGATATTTTTCCAGGTCCAAAACTAGACCCACGTTCATCTAGGGTTCCCGATTGGTATCTTTTAGTTCCAAGATTTACGTGTATCAAAAACTAAAACTTATCGGTACTACAGGTGGAAATATGCCAGTGGACCTTGTTTGGAACCCATAGCTACAAAACAATAAGCAATAAATAAATAAATAAACTACATTCCTCCATTTGGGGGAAAATACATTTTACATGTAGACTTCCTGCACATGAAGTAAATCCACAAATCCATACAGTATGATTTTCATGTGACTGGTATTCCTTGTTTGGGATTGAGGGCTGTAGCTCGTTTCCTAAAGTTTCAGAAATTCCGCAAGGGAGTGCTGGTCTTGATTTAAGTCGATGACAGATGCAGACTCAAACTTGGATTTGGTCCCGGCTGAGTCAGCGATCCCAGCTGGTCGCCACTGCGGGGCGTCTCAGTGCTGGAGCGGTGCCTGGTCCCCCTAACCTTCGCCAACCACGCATACAAACACACACGTTCACATTGCCGAATTACAGTCACATTATTTACAGTATGACTATTTATTGTTATTTTAACGAGCAGTGATGGAGAACATTAAATGCTTTAGTACTGCCATTAAAATAATCAAGATTAATTACATGTGACCTATTCATAGTTTGTGCTTTTGCATTTTTTGCATGAATTTAAATTGGGAGTGCATGGCAAGCGAAATCCTAGATGAGACGGAATACATTCACAGTCACAACGGATCCAATATAAAGACCTGGATCAAAAATTCTGCAGTTTTGATTTACATGGTCAGGCAGATGTTAATTTAATGCCATATAACGCTAAAAAGTGAAGAGCAGAGAAGTAGCTACTCATTTTCGGAGAAATACTTTACAAGTAATTTTCATGTTGGACTACATTTATATTGGTGGTGTTGAAAAATAAAATGAATTATCTTCAATGGAGAAAATGTTATCCCAAGCATAAAAAAACACATTTATTCAGCAATACTGTGATACTGTATTTTTGCCAAAGATGATCATTCTGTCAGAATCTGATATGAATGATGAATGGGAATCATTGCACTCGATCACTGTTTCCTGACCTTTATTGAGCCAAGACACTCAACATTATACATAAAAAAAACAAATAAATAAATCACACAAAAGCAGCAAACAAAAAAAAAAATCTGACAGAATGATGATCTCGTCTCAATTTAGTCCCACACTGTCTTACTCAGTGTGAAATCTATAATTCTGTCAAATTTGGCACAAAACTGATAAACTTGGAATGAGCTGTGGTTTATTCTGAATGGCAACAGGTGGGTATGCAGGTTTATTGTACCTTCTGCCACCTACTGCAAGGACATTTAATTGTTCTGCCTGTCATTATATGTGGCTGGCAGATGAACAATATATATTTGTAATGAATAAATCATAATTTTCTGAAAAATGTAACGAAAGTGGATACTTTCCCACGGTGACCTTAATGATCTGTCTTTGCACACAAGAGTGCCCAGGTACCCTGGTTACGAATCACTGCACTAAATCTGCCCAAAATAACACTGTTAGATAATCACAATTGAATGAAATCCAATTCAATAGCAGTTTTTTGAAACACTCACCTTTGGTTGATTTATTGTATGATAGATTTTTTAAATTCTTATTGTATTTAATTCTCAAATGATTTTATTGATATTTCTATATTTAGGATTAGAAGCATCTCTTAGTGCAATCTCAATTTAAATAACGTTGGACTGTACCTCCGTGTAATTGAATTTACAGTGGGATTTGAGGAGGCGGCGTGGGGAGAAGAGGGGAAGGGTGGGGAGGTGGGGTGGAATTAATGGGCGGGGCCAAGGACCGAGAGCCAATGGCAGCGCAGTAAAGCAAAGCCACTCGCTCAGTCGGCGTCTTGAGCTGCTGGACTGAGCGCGCACTCTCCCGAGGCTCACGGACACACACACATCCGAATCTCGACACCCACACGCCCGGATACAGGCACGAAGAAGAGCCACGCAAGTCGCGCGCGTGGGACTCGCCGCATTTGGTTTGGTTTTCGTAAAATGGCTCATTTATGAAGAGGACGCGGCGGGATGCGCACCTAAACAAGTGTCTCCCCTTTGACTAAAGCTCATCAAGCCGGACACCGAGACAGACCAGAGGAGGTACCGCGGTCTCCCCCTCCCTTCGCTTACTTGTCATTTGGATTGATTGATCTGGTCTCCAAGCCTCCCCTCCCTTACCTTACGCGAAGTGACAAAAGTTGTGTGGACTACCTGGATTTCTGACGTGGCCATCTCTCTCCCGCGATCATTTTTTTTTGGTGTGTGTGTGTGACTGAGTTGTCCCCAAGCACCCTAGGGTGCGCTCCTCGTCATTCACCTTGTTGTCGCACCCCCCTAAAGATCCAACACGAGAAAGGGCGGAGGGGGGGACATATATCCCCAGCTCCGAGGGACACGCGCCGTATTGGACCGGTCCGAACCGAGCGCCCGTGAATGAGACCCCCTCACCTGCCGCCACACCAACGACGAGGAATACGTGGCCAACTTTTGCCGTAGTGATGCTGCAAGTGGAAATGATCCTCGCCGTCTGCCTGGTGCTGTGGATGTGTGTTTTTAGCCAGGAGCCCAGTTCCAAAGTGGTGGCAGACCGCTACGCCGTCTTCTGGAACCGGACTAACGCCAAGTAAGTCACCTCGCCGTCTTCCCAGGGCGGGCCCCGCTCCGGCTTGCAGACCGGTGGGGCAAGCAGGGCGGCTTCGGGCGTGTATCTCTCCGCAGTGTGGCCACCGCAGGTTGTGGCGTGGACAATCCGAATATGCAAAATCTTGGCAATTTTTCGTTCAAACCATGCGAGCAAATTCTGAGCAAAAGGAGCTGCGACAGATAGATACAGGGCGTCTCTGTCTCTGTCCTGATCCCATTAACACGACACTACGTCGAACTTATCCGAACAGTATCGGGGGGGGGAAAGTCTCGTTGTACCCGCTGGCTCACTTTAATTTGAGACAAAACTGAGCAGGATCTCTGCAAAGTAAAATCAAATCTTATTATAGCAGAAACGCAATATAATTAGATTGTAATTTCTGCCGTAATGCGCTGTATGAAATAATGAGTAAGTGATTTTCTACTCCATTGTTTTTTTTATTGCAGTTGTTGATTTCCCCATATCAATTTAATTATCAAAAAAAAAAAAAGAAATCATATTCAGCACCTTTCTCACTATTGTCCTTGAAATGCAATTTACACAAACGCGGAGAACCCTTTTAGAGAAAGAAAAGCTAAACAGTTTTGATGTTTTTGCTGAGCTTTTTTTTTTTTTTTTTGCGTACTTTAAGCTACGAAACTGCATAAAGGTTCCCGGTGCAAAACCTCAAACCTGATTCTTCCAATACTAACATGAAACTGCAAACTTGTATCACTTTTGACATAACTTTTGGTGTGTAAACCTTTCCACACCAAACTACATTCAGCATTTGGCCTTCTTTTGACACTCCGGTGAGGAATTAATGCACGCCCGAAATTTAACAATGGCTCAAAACTAAAGAAAAGTTTTTCTTAATTCTAAAAACAGCAGCCAGATTTTTCTCAAGCCTGAATGTGTAAGACTCACATCCGATCCATGGCACGGAGTGAGGCGCAAGTTAAGAATTTAGAAGTTTGAGAGACCTTGCCTGCTTTTCTATTGAGCCAGCCATGTTGCACTTCTTAGTCAGGCGTTTCCCTTTCTGGGGTCCGACTGAGCAGCTTTGTCTCAGGCTTGTTAATTCGAAACACTTCCAGTAGATTTGTTTTCACCCAACTGGGTGAATGGAAATGAATATTTGTTGAGTAAGAAAAATAAAATAAAAAACCCTATTCGTTAAAATTCACATTTTGGGCCATTTCTCAAAAGTTTTCCTGGATTTGCATTTGAAGCTTGTAAAGACGAGGGTCATTTGTTGGAGCAGTTTAGTGGTCGCGTTTACGAAGTCCAACGGCGTGTGTAGATCTTGTCGTTGATATCCTTGCGCTTGACGACGGGTTGCGGTCGCTGAGTCGACCTGCCGTTATTGACTTTATTTTCCTCTCGCCGTAATTTTGACCTGGATTCCTGCCGTTGATGGACATCCATTCACTGGACTGTATTTTGTTTTCTCCCTTTTTCTTCAGCGAGAAAGTTTTGACTCGACTGGACGCTCTGTTAACTTGATTTTTTCCAGATGTGCGGACAGGTTTTCCCACTTTCAGCTCATAGTACCAAATTGAAGTAAAAGTCGCTAACATCGAGAGGAGGGGAATATGAGAAGTTTGGACCGAGCTGGGTTCATGTTTGGCTTCGTTCTGATGCGTACAGTGTGAAGTAAAGCTGAGCTTTGAGCCTTGTTGGTCCTCTAAAGTCAGAATTTTGCCTCGAGGAAGGAAACAGTTTTTTTTTTTAAAATTTTTTTTTGTGTTTATTTTTAAGATCTTGTAAAGTTGCTAATACCGATCGGGGATCGGTTCACATGCAGGTTCGCTTCATTTGTTTGACTCTCGTCCCTCCAGGTCATGTTAACTGCCCTAAACCAAACTTGTCCTGTTGATGAGGCCAATTGACAAACATCTAACTCATCCTTTTGTGCCCTAATTGGTGAAAGCTGCTCCCGTTTTTTGTTCTTGAGGCCATTCCGATCAATTTCGGTGTCAGCTCTGCACACGGAAAAGTGATCCCGTCTCTCTGGGAGTCCAGTGCGCTCCATTGTAATGAAGCAAGGCGTCCTAAATGATGCAGCAGGTGACTTGAAAAGTGTCAAGCTGGCATCATTTCAGGCTAACTCTTGGAGAAGGAACCGTTTAGCCGCCATTCGTTTTTCCACTCGCCAAAACCGCAGATTCTCCCGGCTGGAAAATGACTAGCTTGAAGGAATTAATCACCCCAAATGTGTTTGGTTTGTCTAAAAATCTCTTTGGTTTCTGATTTATGATGCCCAAGTTGGACGTACCACGTCCTTATATGTCATATTACGCTCCAACTTCATTACCGGGCAGAAAGCCACACAATTTATACATATTTCTGTTTCCAGTGCGATCACAATCACCTCCAAATTAAAGTATTGGTTTAAAATATGTCAGTTCATTAAATAAAACCATGTAAACTAGACTTCTACAACACACAGTCAAGAATACTCTACCCGAACTTGGAACCATTTGTTCAATCCAAATCCAATTTCTTTATAGCTCACATTTAAAAACACGGTTGACCAAAGTGCCCGAAAAATAATTTTCACCACACAGAATATAAAACAAAGTAATATTCCAGAAGATGAAAACAATGAAACACAATAAAAGACTAACTATCAGTATGATGTAAAAACAAAAAAAAACCAACAAAACTTGCAAGACAGAGAACGTAAAAGAGGGGAAGGTGGTTTTGAGAACTGATTTTCAAACTGCTCCAGTGAATGTACATGTAACGTGGGCGGGCAGTTGGTTCAGTAATTTGGGAGCTTTCAGCTTTTAAGAAAAAAGAAAAAAAAAAGGTTACGCAGGTTTGAATTTCTTCAACATACTTTTCCATCAGTGCAAGCGTTTGGCAATCGGAGGCTGAGGGGATTTCCTGGCTGTTTGCTTGGCTTCAATCCATCTTTGTCTACCAATTCCACTCTAAGTCCAAGAACTTGAAGTCAACTTTACAAAACCTCACTTTGTCATTAGAGCCACGTCTCCATCTGTCTTCTGCCTTCATTTTGCGTTCTGGCCAGTCGAGGAGTGTTTGGAGAAGTCTTAATAGGTGTCCTCGCAGGGTTCATTCAGCTCGAAACGTCTTCTAAATAAAGAGACGTTTCTCTTGGGCGGCGTTTGTCCTCTGCCATTCAGCCGGCTGCCTTTGCTTGTGAGTATTTATTCGAATGAGAGGACAGACGAGTGCCCTTTCTTCTGCGACATGTTCGCACTAAGCCTTCCTCCCTTGTCGCCTCTCTATCTCCTTGTCCGGGCGCTTGCTCATGTATGAATACGCTTAGATATTTCGGGAGTCCCTCTGCATGCGATGGCAGACTCTCAAGAGGTCGGGATGACTCGGGGAGGTCACAGGACGGGAGCGCAGAAAGTTTGAAGGTGTTATTTATGACAGCCGGTGCCGTTTTGACCGTGCGGATGACTCAAAGTGATTTTTGAGTTTCAATCTGTACATTATTGTTCGCTCCTTACACTAACCAAACGGAGGGAAACTGTTGTTGCTGCAAGAATTGTTTTACTTAGAACACAGGTTTTATTTTGAGCATCTCCGTAATGTTGTCAGTGCCATATTTCAACTCATTGAGTGCGGGGAAGATGGATCAAGCACAAGGTGGCGGTAATGTGCGAGCTGCAAGAATTGTTTTACTTAGAACACAGGTTTTATTTTGAGCGTGTCCGTAATGTTGTCAGTGCCATATTTCAACTCATTTAGTGCGGGGAAAGATGGATCAAGCACAAGGTGGCGGTAATGTGCGAGAATCGTGACTCTCCTCTGAGTTTTTTTTCGATTTACAAAAAAAAAAAAAATCTGTCCTAAAATCTGAATTTGGTAAACCATTTAAAATTACAGACCAACAATAGAGAAAATGTGTTTTTTTGTTTTTTTTTTTAGATCGATTGAAAAATCGATTCATTGGCCGTTACGAATTTTGTTGTGTGGAATTGCTTGATGATTGATTATATTTTTCGAAGCAAGTGAGGCAAAACGCAGTGCATTGTATGTTCTACCCACGTTAGTCGTCATTTTATTAACCTTTTTTTGTCACCCAGTATTTATTGTTCATTTTTTGTTGTAATTAAAGATTCGGTTGGAAATAAAAACACTGACGTGTAAAAACACATTCCTCAGCATTCCCTGCCTTCCAATGTGTATGGAAAATGACAAATAATGCTGGTCAACAATTTTTTATGACAGTTTTTCATTAGAAATGCCAATAATGCCAGTAAAACTTTTCTTGATAATTTTTTTTGCGCTCATTCCGAATCGCCCCACATTTTCTCTAGCACTCCATGTTTTCATACTACTAGCACAACTACTATAACGAATGTACCAATAATATAATATATCATATTGTGATATACAGTATGTAGTAATATTTATGAAAAAAGGGTTAGGTTAAGCAACCACTGGAATTTTATTCTGAAATGTCATCTATAAACTTATTGTAACATCCACATTGCGCGAGCTTTTATCGGTCGCACTTGAAAACAAACCATGAAAATATCTTAAAAACCAGATATGTTAGAAGAGATACAAGACACTCTTTTGCAATTAGCCTTAAAAATGCATCTAGGTACACATAAAGCCAATTCTGATTAAAATTTGCTATTGACCAACGGAATCAATTAATTGATTACGTTTCCTGGAGTGTTTTAAAGAAATTAAGCCTATCAAGGCTTTAAAAAAAACAAAAACAAAAAAAAAAAATACAGAATATGTGGAGAATAGCTCCGAACTAGGTTTAGCCAATGTGCATTACAAACTGTGGAAAAGGCGTGTCACTTGTTTGTGTTGAGGATTAAAAAAAAAAAAAAAAATTTTATTAGCTTAGTTTGTACAGACGCATTTTGCATGAACATTCAAAGAAACCAATTAACAAAACATCACCAGCAGCAGCAGCAGCACTTCAAAACAGTTCAATGTGATCATTCAACAATTCAATGTAAATTGTTGAAAAACGGAGTGTGCAAAAATTGGCCGAGCGC